CATCCACCCACTCTCTATCTTTCTCTATATCCTTCCTCATCCCTTCATTTCGCCACGTCCTTCAACATTTCAAGATTTCTCCCTATGCAGCAACTTTGATTAAATAGATTATTTGATTGGATTTATACAAGAGAGAGAGAGAGAGAGAGAGAGAGAGGGAGAGAAAAATATATATATATATATAGGAATTAAATATTGTTCTATGTGAATAAAGCAAGCGTGTATTTAAATTAATAGAAAATGTTGAAATTACAATTTAACTTAAATAAATGCATAATGAAAATTAGCCATAGAGAACAACAAAAATATGTGATAATTATTAAAAATAAATAATTGATATTTTGAAAGAATATATATTAATTTAATTTTTATAGGTGATAGGTAAAATGTGATGGTAATAATTAGATATCGGATTATATAAAATTTGTAATTACCTAACCATAAGGTTTTTTCTCTCTTAGTGTAATTTTCTTCGTGTTAATTAACCCAGGATTTCTAAGATGTTCGGGATAACCGGTGGTACGGACAGGCAGGTTCGTTACTCCCTTCGTTTTACCTTTTGCAACGTTGCGAAAAAGCGAAGCCCCACGGTGACGGAGTAAAAGAAAGTAACGTTAAAGTCGTTCTCGTCGATCCTACGGATTCATTATTCACTGGAACGAAGTAGAGGTCAGATGAGAAAGGCAACCTACGGGGGTGTACGAAAGAAAATGGGAAGGTGGAAGAACGGAAGGAAAAAACAAGAGAGGAAGAAAGTGAGTGAATAAGAGAGAGAAAGAGAAAAAGAAAGAGAGAGGGAGAGAGAGAGAGAAGAAAATACTGTTGGTATAGAAACCTACGCTTGACTGGCAAATAATTACTACCCTATGGCCAAACGATGACGTCAGTATTCGCTAAAAGTTTAAATCAATCAACATCACGTTTTACTATTTTCCAACTGAAAATAATTAACTTGATTTTTCATCTCTCAATCTAACTAAGAGATTTCCTTGTTCAAATATACGGATTAATAATTTAATTGATTGCCAATTGTTAACGATAATTTATACTTCCTTTGTATAATAATTATAAATAATTAACATTCAATCAGATTGCACGCGTGTGTTGTTAGAGTCCGTGTATTAGAACAAGAAGTCTTTGATTAAAATGACAAATCAATGAAGTTATTATTATAATAATTATAATAATAATAATAATAGAGTAAAATATATACATATACATATATATATGTATGCGTGTGCTCTTTAATTTAGTAAAAGCATATTTAGAGCATCCCTTGATTTGACACTTTCTTTTTTACCATAGTTATTAAACGAAGGTCCTAAAAGAATCCATGTAAATCGTCCTTGAAGATTTCTCAAGGGGTGAAATGTTAATTTCCGAAATACATCCTCTCCACGTCGACATTGTTCTTTGAGGATAGCTTTCAAGCCGATTGCTCGTCGCGAGTGGGGATGCCACGAAGAAAAGAAGAAAAATATTATGGGGAGAAATGTCAAAAAAAAAATAAAATAAAAAAAGAAGAAGAAGAAGAAAAAAAGAGAAAACTAGAAACCATAAAAAACCAACGATTGACTGCGTAACTTATTGCGGGAAAAAAAATAAAAGGAAAGAATAAAGAAAGAAAGAAAATGTTCTTCTCGCATAATAATCGAGGGAAGGTTTTGAAAACGAACAATTTCTAATCTTGTCACGTAGATACTTTGCAACTCCCATATATCTCTTAATCTTTGAAAGGACAATTTAGAGGAGACTAAGAAGGAAAACTGTAACTTGTTGGTTACACACACGATGCGCATAGTTGTGTCTTGACTGCATATTAATTAAATTTCACAATGCTTGGCATAAATGCGCGCGCATTCTAGTTACATCGGTACATTGTATATGCTCGTATCTTGATGTATATGTTTATACGTACTACACTGTAACCATATAGTGTGTATTTAGTTCGTAATAGGACCTCGGTGCAGTTTGCATATCAATTCTCTTGGTATAAACTATACCGATAACAGGACTATCGCTTGCTTTGCCTACAATCTAATTTGTCACAGTTAATCATTATCTAACGAATTTGTATATTACTAATTACGATACGTGCACGGTTATACAAAATTTCGCGTTTTAAAATGTTATTTCACTAATGCGTACAGAAAATAATATATATATATATATATATATATCTATTCGTTCGTTTCTGTGTTTACGAATTATTCATATTCGTATTTATATTTGTTTTTTTTTTCTTCTATTTCTTTTTCTTTTTGCTTACTTTTTAATATTTTATTTTGTTCCCGTTCGTTTGTGTTTTTTTTTTTACTTTTTTTTAATACTGTACTTTTATCGTAGCAATTTCAAAAGCAATCCGAATAATTTCTGCGACCCCGACGATATCTAAAAAAAAAAAAAAAAGAAAAATATTATAAATTCAGAATTTAATTTTTTTCGGTTCGTCCCGTAGACCGATGACCCCCCCCCCCTCCACCCCTATAAAGTTTCAATTAATATACAAAAAAAAAGCTTACGGTACCTTTAAAGTTCTAACAGTAGAATCAAACGGTAAATGAAAAACGTGTGCATGGGACAGTTCGATTTGGAAAAGAAGCTTAAGAAATTGGAATCTCATTTTTCTTACAATCTTTGGTTTGTTTATTTGTTGGATTTTTGTTTTCTTCTTCTTTTGTTTCTTTTTTTTTTCTTAACATTATTAAAACATATCGTTTTTTTATATAATAATACCGAGCGAAATTATTTTCATTTCTTCACATTTCGCGTTATATTTCAAACGCGGATAAACTTTTAAATAGAAATTGTCGAGAAGTTTTGTTAGAAAAATAACTATAGTATTAATATCGTTCGTAAGTAAAAACACCGATATTTATTGAATAAACAAAACCATAACTATAAATTCTCAGATGAGTGGTATCCCTTGGGAAATTATTCTCCGTATTGTCAGCGATACTACGCGTTTCTAAAACAGAAATTTAAAGATTTATATCAATTAAAGTAGATTTCAAGTGGGGATACCAGGTAGCACACAATCAATTTTCATTACTTTGCTTTGTTTTTAATATATATATATATATATATATATATATATATATGTATTATGTATTTAAGTATATTTACTTACATACGTTCGAATAACATCGAATATATTTTGTGAGAAGATTATCATTTTAATATTCTAAAAGTTTCGTTATATGAATTCGACGAATCAATACGATCCTATGTTTATGAATTTATCTGACAAAAATATTTTTACTTATATACGTTCGAATAACGTCGAATATTTTTTTTTTTTTTAATCATTTTAACAGTTTAAAAGCTTTTCGTTAAGAATTCTACGAATCAAATACGATCCTACGTGTTCTTTTTTTTTTTTTCATAAAAATATATATACGAACAGAAATATTGCTAGTTAATGTAATATTTGTGTGTAAGACTAAGAAGACAAGTTTGAAAAGAATGTTCGTAATTATTTGTTCTTATATCCCTTCCAATACTTTTAATTTACTTTCAATTTCATACTTTAACTATTCCCTTCTCGTGAATTCACACATATATTACTTATTTAAAATATATATTCATATTTTCACCGAATGAAACGATTTCACGCTTTAACAATAATATACATATATGAGCCGTTTATTTTGAAAGTGGCCTAAGTCCATTTATCTTAAAATCGAGAAATTTAAGGTTTTGTGTTTCAACGCAATTAAAAATATACGTACAGAATACCAATGAGTTATGCTGCTTAAGTGTATCTAAAGGTGTTAAATTTACAGTTCTCATTAAAATAATGGCAATTATTAAATGAATAATATGCGTTTTCTTACCAAGAATGGAGTTAGGCCACTTTCAAAATTAACAACCAGACTCGTTATAATATTTGAAGGAACCGAAGTCCATTCAACATAATTTAAGATGCTTCAAATTGAAAAAAAAACAATACTCATTTTATATTACATATCTTTATAACACTTTAAAAACATAAATTATGCGATTCAAAACATTTTTTACAAACATAAATTACAAAACAATTTTCTACTCATCTACATTTTGTGTATGTGAAAGGGATTTAAAGAAATCATGATGTTCCGGTGGTATATATCGTAATAAGTCAATTATATCCTTGAATTTTGCGGTTGTAATTTGTCTGATATTTTTATACAGTGATGTCAATACAATATTTTCGAACTTTCTTGGTCTACCCCGACGTGGTAATAAATTCAGGACCTTAAAATTTTCGTTCTCATTCATTGATGTCTTATAGAAAATTTGATACGGTTCATTTTTGACAAAACGCATCCAACATATTTTAAACCAGTTTATTGGTTCTCCGTTAGAATTCTTTACCCTTTTAAAAATTGCGTCTTCTAATAATTTTGTTGATTCAAAATCTTCTTGTTTCATTTCATATACAATAAAGTTATTA